CATTAAATTGCCCCTAGTTTTAATGGCGATTAGAGCTACACCTAGCACTGCTACCAAATTGTCACCTTTTGAATTGATGACAGGAAGAAAGATGGTTTTACCACAGCATTTACTATATCGTACTTTGGATCATAACTTGATCAATGCTGCCACTACGCATCAGTATATCGAAGATTTGCGCAAGCATTTACAGCATGCATTTGCTTTTGCCCAAAAGAATCTAGAAAAAGCAGCGACAGGGGTTAAGACCTATTACGATCTAAAAACCACGAAAAAGGAATATGAGATCACAGATCAAGTCTATCTGTATAACTTTGCGCGAAATCAAGTTAAGGAAAATAAATTTTTACCTTCTTGGAAAGGACCATATGTCATCATTGACAAAATTTCCCCAGTAGCGTACAAGATAAAAATTCCTAAGGATGGTGATTTTATTGGAAAGTGGGTTCACATTAACCAGTTGCGTGCTTGTCATCCTAAATCTCAATTAAGGATTATAGGTGTGGATTCAGACGCAGAAGGGTGAACGACTAACCTGGATGAATGCTTGATTCACGTGGTATAGTATGATGTGAAATGTTGTGATGTGCCATGATCTCATGTACGTTCATGTCATTAACCATTTCCTTGCCATCCAATAACTACATTTTATAAGCAGGTTATTAGCTTGTTTAAATGCTATAGGACTTACTGAAGAGTCAGTAATAAATGTAGTGAGGGATGAAGTTATAAAAATAGAATTAGACAGAATACATATGTGATGAATCGTAAAAATGTGTTGACCTAGGCCAAGTGATGTCACACTGTTATAAGTTTGTATGCTTAACAAACCTTGAATCATTAGTAGATAAGTCTGAAACGAGTTCCTGATCCGTGACTGTCGAAAGATGTCCAAGAAGGATGTGGCGTGTTTCTGGATCGTACTGCTCCTGTGCCAAGAGCTACGGACCGACCCGATCGCAGAGATGGGACCATCCTCCGGCATCCTGATTCAAGAGACACCAGGGTTCATCTTGACAGAGAAGAGGATCCTGACCCGACGTGTGTTCGTCAGCTTGGACCCCAAGATTTCCATCGAGAAGGCATACAACATTTCATCGATGCAGCTTCCTGAGTTACAGACTTGGTACCAGATGCACCTCCAAAGAGCACAGGACCGTGTGCGAAACATCTTGGAGCAAGCCCGGAAACCATTTGTATCCAGTTCTATTCCGATGAGCAACCGACCCAAAAGGTTCCTCACCGCTATAATTGTTGCATTAGTTTGTGCCACTGTCGGTGCAGTTGTCGCAACTGGAATGTCTGCAGCCAACTCTATTACTGTCCAAAAGCTGAATATGGAAATCTATGCGCTAAAGCAACACATTAACGATATTCATCAGGTGATACAACAGCAAAGAACACTTCTCCAAGACGTGTTAACTATTGTGGAAGACACAGTTGTTACAACAAATTTGCATTCAGAGTTAATTGCCAAATCCACTGAGTTGCACCAAAGTCATGACTTATTCAAGCGTGAACTTTTATTTCTGCATGACCCAATATTGTTCCACACACTTGCTTTTCTTGACGAAGTGCAAACTGGAATGATCGAATTGGCAGGGGGACGCATACCTCTGTATTTTGTATCCAAGGATATTGTTCATGCGATGCTTGCCAATGTGGATGGAGAGACAATTGAGCCTATGCAATTAAATCTGGCCTTTGAGATGGGGAGCGCTATACCTCTCTTAATTGATCCGGAACGTATGGAGATTTGCTTTTTATTGACCATACCATATGTAATTCTCAAAGACATTTTTCAAATGAAAATAATGTACTATGTAATAATGATATTATGGTTGATTGTACTAAGTGTAAAGTTCAAAACTCTTACAGGTACAAATATATACAAAAATGTTCATTCCACGCACGGGCCTATGTTAGAAATGATGTGATTGCACAATATGTCTGGTAACTTCTATAGTGCTTATTCATAAGCTAAATTAATTTTGGCTATGAAATGCACTAAAGGGGGGTTATGTCAGGGTATTTATATCGGCAGACATCTTGTGCTATGATAGAAACTAAAAGTGTATATTCTGAGTCATTCTGAACAGACCAGACTCCATTTTGTTATTTCAAGTTAACAAAAAGACACTATATTTCTATCTGTAAGCTAACCACTTTCCCAGAGCTGAGGAATGCATAGTATATACAAGACAAGTGATAAGGAAGGGGGTTGGACAGACTGTCTAATGCTAATGGAATATAATCAAATCTAAACCCAGACAATTGTGACAGAGAAGATTAAATAATTTAATATTTAACTGTCTATATATATAAGGTACCATTGTATGGAAAAGGGTAAACTTAGTTCATGATCTGTCATATCAGAAATTATGGCAGGAATTGCAGACGCTAAGTCTGGACAAAATTTAAGAAACCCTTTGAAATTTTAAATTATGGCGCTATAAAGATAACGCAAAATGACGTCAAAATAGCCACCAGGAAAAGTTAACTCTTTCCTGGATAGGTATGTTTAGTGGGACAAGACTGCCCTCTATAGACCAAATAACTAATTTGCGATCTGGAAGATAACCACACCTCTAGTGCTTCTATTGGGTTATCAACTGATGACGTACAGAGAGTCTGGCCCTTTAAAAGTTAAGACAAAGGGAAGATAGAGAGAAAGACGAAGGAGGCAGATGCAAGATATGCAAAGGAGAGAAAAGAGAGGAATTGGAAGTTTGGGGACTCCAACCTCCATGCAGAGACACATCCAAATAAATTCCTGAGACTACCAATCGGATGAAATATCTACTCAACTGGTAATTATACTGGTTTCATTTAATTAAATTAAATTAATTAAAATGTATTAATAGCATTATATATGACTGGATAAAGCACGGTCAGATTTCCATATTAAGAAATCTTAGTTAACTAAGAATATATAGTTATAAACATTCCATTCTGCAGGTGGAATTAAGAATAATTATATATTGATGTGATATTATCACGTGTTAGCATACCGCTGTTTTTATCCAGGTGTATTGATTTGCTCTAAATTAAGATAGATATCTTTTAGACAAATTAAAAATCTGTTTATATAATATGTAGATTCTCTTATTGGATTGTTTTCAGGAAATGGCTAATGAACTGGTTTAAATGTTATTTTATTTAAAAATTACATAAGAATAGATCTTAACTACCTAGGAGATCTAGCCAGCATTGAAAGGGTTATTCTAACTGTCTGCTAAACTTTACGACCTTACGCTGCACTCTGAGGAATTCTGTTCTTCACTGTGAAAACTTTCACTTTAAGTCTGTGAAAGATAGTCATAAATAAAGTCTTGACAGAAAATGCTTTTTAGCCATTGAAACGTAATACCCATTCCTTTGTATTGCATATCAATTTATACTGAATATTCATTGATTATTGTCATGCATGTTACATATATTATTATTAATTATTGGTTATCATAAATAAAAATCTATTTTTATATAAACTGTGAATATTATTTATATGGTATACATTCCACTTAACACGATAAACGTTCTTTGGGATCTGAGAATTGAATTAGTGGGCAATTCTCAACTGTTTACTATTATTATCCCATAAATATCCCCACAGTTTGAAGTATGCCTTCATATACTAATCTTGTGTATACCTTCAAACAAATTAGTGATGGCAAATTGTTTTAATCAGCAGAGCTATGAACAAGATCAAGGAATTACACGAACATAATAGAGACTGTGTTGAAGGAACAGTAAGTAAAAATTGTGGATCTTCTAAGCAAATCACATAAGCAGATTGCTCATAGCGCTGTGGTTATGTGTGAATGCCTGCATGTGTCTCTTTTTTTCTTGAGATAATGCTTTTGACACAAAATAAGACACTACTATTTTTTATATAAATGTGTGTAAAACTACATTAAACAGATGACTATTTTTTATGTTGTTATTCTGTAATAGTGTCTTTTTAATAAGCAGATCAGTTGGTGTGTAACACGCAGAATCTGCCTTTAGCAGATTTAAAGGTATACACACCATACATCTTATTCGAATCATCATCAATTGTTCCAGATTTTGATACAATTATTACATCCAATCCTACCGAATAAGCCATTTTTAAGTGAATTAGCTCCTGAACACACTGCCTTATTGGTATCACCGTTCTTTATATTTTCAGACAGGTTTGGGTGTATCCCTGTCTCAGTTCAGTCGAGCAAATTCATTTCAAGTCGGACTCCCTCACCTCTGTGTATTGCACTAGGCAGACCAGATCCCATATATTTTTATATTTTTATTATAACTGAATGATCATGAAACATTAAAAGAGACTTTCCAAGCACTACAGCTACTTATATTCCTTGAAAGCCTTATAGAGAAAATAGATTTTTCCTCTCTATAAGTCACCACTCCACTAAGTGTTTCCAACCCACAAAAAAAAAAAAAAAAAAAAAAAAATTTCCTGCATAATCTTTATATTTCTGGCTTTTTTGGTTGTTCGTTCTTTGACTTTGGGAGAAGTTGTCAGGTCAATTTAGAATTAAGTACGATAAGCTTATCCAACGTGTGGAGACGAAAGCTCATGGATTTCTTTCCACCGATGGAGGCCTGCTAACATCCAGGTATGGCAGAAAACCTTACTGGAGTAACCCTGCTAAGTGAGGCGGAGAGGCTTCAATCTGTCAATATTGCAGCCTGGTTTGGTCTCGAGCAGGAGTTGCGGCCAAACTTATCAAAAAATTATATATTTGAATTAAATGTCTTCTACTCCAGGAAACAACACCAGTCATCAATGATGAGTAAAGTTAAATGAAAAGGTATTATTTAAATGTATTTTGTTAACGGGACACAGCAGCCCCCTAAAACACTTTAGCTCACTGATGTAAAAAACAAATAATTTTACTAAAGAAAAGTTTCATTTGGGGTATACCTACAAAATGGTGATTTTTATTACATTTTTTATTTGTGCAGTGGAGTGTCCCTTCAGTCATTTTGTTAGTATTATTGCTTTAGGGTTTAGGTTCAATATATTTCCCATACTTACCAAGTTCTGTATTTATGCTTTGAATGATAACTTTGGCTAAAGTGTCCATATGTCTGAAAAAGCTTCTGATGTACTGAGACTTATGGATTTGGTTCTCAAGAGACCTTTCGCATTCATCCAGATTGTTCAAGAGAAGTGACATCTCCTGGCGTACAGGATGTGATTGAACCTCGTGTGGCTTTGTAGATGACTGATCCAGTAATGCTTGGATCAGATTTCCTTTTGCTTCTATAATTGAAGAGAAAAAAAATAAAAAAATAAAAATAAACTTTGGTTTGTCAAAATTAAAAGAAAAACTGGGACATTTACACTTTGATGAAGCCTGGGGTGAAACGTGTTTATTTTCTATATGTATTTTTTTTTTTTTTAAATAAATTGTACAAACTGAACTTTTCCTGGAATTTTTTTGGCCAAATGCTATATTGGCTACGGAGCTGCAATTTAAAAGGTCCTAGTGGTGGGGACTAGACTACCTAAAGTGTGGATACTCTTAGCATAGTAAACTGCACTCCACATTGAGTAAGCATACATTTTATTTAAATACCATGAATATACATTATTGCATTTGTTCCATATTTTGCCAATCAACTTGCTGGTAAGCTGGACCGCATCATGTATTGCTTGCTTTGTTCTGTAAAGCTGCAACATATTGCATATTCGAATACTGCCCCTGCTGCCTGACACTAAACTAAGCCAATAGCTCTTAACCATGTGAGTGCACTCCTCTTCTATCTCTATTCTTTGTTTTTGTTCTCTTTGGAGATTGAATTTAAAAGAAACATTGCTACATGATGTATGGTCATTAGGGATACTTGCATTAAGAATTAGTTTGCATGAGAGTTTAAACAATAGTTTGATTTGAGGTTTCACTAGTAGCTGGAATTTCAATATGTATTACTTTGCAAAAGGCAAAAAATATAAAAATAAAATGTAAACCACCCATTTGTTAGGATTATGCTTTTGAAGTATTTCAGTGTTGACAGGCACAGATAACAAAACTTTACTCACCATGAACCGATATTGCAGCTTTAAGACGAAGGAGAATTTGTTCCCGCTCATGGTCAAGTGTAATATTGCGAATAATATACTCATCGGACATTACTGCATAGCAAGTGTGCAAAACCTCTGTAATGTTACACTTGAATTGGTTGCTTATTTTATCTCCTTTAATATGTAAAACAAAACAGAAAAAATAATAGTATAGATTAGAAATTTGGGTAAAATTTATTTATGCATTCGTGCATAACACATTTTAAAGTAGAATATTTAAACAGCTTTAATTACCTCCAATTATGTATCTCCCCCTTACCATGCCTATGCAGGCTGTGAGTTTAGGTTTTTCAGTAACCTTTCACCTAACTTGTAACTATCCATACTTATATAGAAACATAGAATCTCTCCGGCTGTTCCCACCTCCTATAACCTCCGATCCAGTACCAGCAATTAATTAGTCTACCTCAATACAAAAAGAAAGCAGCCCGATCCTCCTCCTCCGACAGAGCGCCGCATTTGTGGAATGACCTCCCGCACACTTTCAAATCTTCCCCAAGCCTAAAGTCCTTTAAGAGATCCCTCTCTACATACCTCAAAACAGAATGCACGTGTCATGGTTGGTTATATATTTCTTACCTGTTCTATGTTATATTTTGTATTTATTGTGTATTAATATTGTTTTTGTACCATAATGTAATAATGCAATGTTTTGTGAACCCAGGACATACTTGAAAACTAGAGAAATCTCAATGTATCCTTCCTGGTAAAATATTTTATAAATGAATAAATAAGTAAATAACATGACTGCCGGTAAGAACTATTCAGCCCATCTAGTATGCCCAATTTTCGTAATGCTTTCATTATGTCCCTGGCCTTATCTTATATCTAAGATAGCCTTATGCCTATCCCATGCATGCTTAAACTCCCTCACTGTGCTAACCTCTACCACTTCAGCTGGAAGGCTATTCCATGCATCCACTACCCTCTCGTTAAAGAAATACTTCCTGATATTCTTTTTAAACCTTTGCCCCTCTAATTTAAGACTATGTCCTCTCGTTGTGGTAGTTTGTCTTCTTTTAAATATAGTCTCCTCCTTTACTGTCTTGATTCCCTTTATGTATTTAAATGTTTCTATCATCTCTCCCCCTGTCTCATCTTTCTTCCAAGCTATACATGTTAAGATCCTTTAACCTTTCCTGGTAAGTTTTATCCTGCAATCCATGAACCAAAGTTGCAATATCCTTTTGAAAATACGGTCTCCAGTACTGCTTACAATACTCCAAGTGATAAATGTTCAAATTCGGTAAAGTGAGGTGGTTTTAAATTTCTGACTGTGTATGCCTTTATTATGACCATACCTGTTGCCTTTTTGCATATTACACTATGTAATCTGTATTGTCTTTTTGCACTGCCATGACTAAATAAATTTAAAAAAAAAAAAACAAACAAAAAAAACCCAACAACCTATAAACCTGAATGATCTGTTAATGCCAGCTGTCACATTTGTCAAGCTGTAAATGTGTCACATTGTTATCTTTTTCTGTTGCTTTCTTTTTCTATTATTCGTGTTGTACTACAATTTTCTTTTTAAAAGATTTGTAAAAAAACAAACATACGGGACGTTACAAATAGCTGGAGGTATCGCTTCTTTACATATATTACAGTTTCCAAAATAATGAAGACCCCATGTTAATTAAAGAGGACCACTGACATTTTTCTAACATAAGGTATTCTAAGCTGTTCCAGTAATCATCAGATAATTGATGAAAATTTAAATTTTGTTTGGAGGACAACTGTATCGCAACAGTATTTATAAAGAATAAGAATTCTCACAACATTTTTTTTTCTTTATTTACATGGGTAGCACAACAGTAAAATATTCCACACTCAATGAAAGCCATGATTCAAAAGAATATTTCCTATTGCAATTGTGTAGGCTTAGCTATGCTTCAATCATTAAGATTTGATTTTAAGAGTGTTTTTGACCCAAGATGCCATTGTGACCTGACTAAGAGCTCTAAAGTAATATATTTAACAATTTCTTCATGGCCTCAGATCTGAAACTCAAATTAATAAGCAATAATTACCTTTAAGTGCTAACACTACCTCTAGTGGCGGTCTACATTTGGTCGCCTAACTGACACTGGACGTATTTATGCTATGCATGAGGACATTGAGGTCACTCAATGCTTTCCTAAGGTGGAAGATCTAATGCGAGTGCGGCAATCGCGGCGCATATGCATTAGGTCTCCCCCACCATCGGCTGACGTTGACGGGAGAGGAGCGGAGGCGGAGCCTGAACCAACACTGAGGGACATTGGCGCTGGAGACATCCTAATGTACATTGGAGACATCCCAATGTAAGGCAAACTAATTTTGGTATTAATGTAATGTAATGTAATAATATTCTAGTTTATAATATTTCAACATTTGTATGAAACTGTGGAGAGCAGACATAGCCCAAGATATATTCGACACGTACTCATAGTTACATAGCTGAAAAGAGACTTGCGTCCATCAAGTTCAGCCTTCCTCACATATATTTTTGCTGTTGATCCAAAAGAAGGCAAAAAACCCAGTCTGAAGCACTTCCAATTTTGCAACAAACTAGGAAAAAATTACTTCTTGACCCCAAAATAGCAGTCAGATGTCTCCTTGGATCAAGCAGCTATTACCCCACTAATTAGAAATTATATCCCTGTATGTTATGTTTTTGCAGTTTAAACATCTGTAATGACTCTGACAAAACCACCTCTTCAGGCAGAGAATTCCATATCCTTATTGCTCTTATGGTTAAAAAAAACAAAACTTTTCTTTGCCTTAGATGAAATCTCCTTTCTTCCAGCCTAAATGTGTGACCTCTATCCTATGTATAGCCCTATTTATGAATAGGTTTCCAGATAAAAGTTTGTACTGGCCCCGAATATATTTGTATAATTTGATCATATCCCCTCTCAGGCGGCGTTTTTCCAAACTAAACAGATTTAATTTTTTTAACCTTTCTTCATAACTAAAATGCTCCATTCCTTTTATCAATTTTGTAGCTCGTCTCTGGACTTTTTCTAGTGCCATAATATATCTTTCTTTAGAACAGGCGCCCAAAATTGCACAGCATATTCAATGTGTGGTCTTACCAGCGATTTATAAAGAGGCAAAATTATATTTTCATCCTGAGAATGTATGCCCATGTTTATACATGACAAAACCTTACTGGCCTTAGCAACTGCAGATTGACATTGCATATTGCTGCCTAATTTGTTGTCTATAACAATTCCCAAATCCTTCTCGTGTGTGGTTATCCCTAGTTCACTACCATTTAGGGTGTAAATTGCTTGTGCATTCTTAACCCCGAAGTGCATAACTTTGCATTTCTCTACGTTAAATTTCATCTGCCATTTTAGTGCCCAGTCTTCCAATCTATCTAAATCCCTCTGCAGCAAAGCAATATCCTGCTCACAATTTTATTACTTTACAAAGTTTTGTCTCATCTGCAAACACCGATAGATGGCTTTCAATGCCCATTTCAGGATCATTTATAAATATGTTAAATAGAAGTGGTCCCAAAACAAAACCCTGACACCACTTACCACTTTTGTCCAGCCTGAAAATTTACCATTAATGACAACTCGTTGTACTCTATCCTTAAGCCAATGTTCTACCCAAGAACAAGAATATTCGTCTAGACCAATTTCTTAGTTTGAAGACTAACCTATTGTGAGGAACCATATCAAATGCCTTGGCAAAATCCAAGTAGATCACATCCACTGCAACACCCTGATCTATACTTCTACTTACTTCTTCGTAGAATGCAATTAGGTTAGTTTGACATGACCTATGTTTCATAAACCATGCTGATTATTGCTAATAACAAAGTTCTTCCCAATGAATTCCTGAATATTATCCCTTAGTAGCCCTTCAAATATTTTCCCAGTTACAGAAGTTAAGCTCACAGGTCTATAATTTCCAGGCAAGGATTTTGAACCCTTTTTAAATATAGGAACAACATCTGCCTTCTTCCAATCCTCAGGTACAATACCTGAAACGAAAGAATCTTGAAAAATTAAATACAGCGGTTCACTTATTTCCCCACTTAGCTCCTTAAGTACTCGTGGGTGAATACAGTCAGGCCCCGGAGCTTTATTTACATTAATTTTCTTTAATAGCTGTAGCACCTTGTCTCGAGTTATCCAAATCACAAGTTATTTGCAGCAATCATTTGCATCTCTCTTGGCATA